TATATATATATATATATATATATATATATATATATATATATATATATATATATATATATATATATATATATATATATATATATATACGTGGGGTATGCTATAACGAATCCTAATTGGTTCTGGGAACCTTGTTGGGTTATAGGATTAATCGGTTCAGGTCCCCAAATACAACCATATCACTGAAAAATATAATATAAAATTGTAAAAAATTGTAAAAAGTGCATAAATATGCATCTAAACCCTGAAATAAAGGAATATCATTAATACTTGTAATAAAAACTATTAATTAGTAAAAAAAAATTAATGTTCATTGTAGGAGTTTAGTTAGTTATAGCATTCTCAATTTTATAAGGAAAACTGTTGGGTTATAGGAATATTAAGTAGTAGAATCCATTCGTTATAGCATACTCACTGTATATATAATCTTACCACAAAGTTCTATATTTAGCATGGTTAAGAGTTACTATGGTAATTCTTTATTTTTACGTTCTGTGAGAAAAGCTGCATTCCTGTTATATGAATATGAAGTTCATATATTTACCATGACCATAAGCATTTTTTCAATAAATTATTTGTAAAAGGCTTTACCCATGACTGTACACTGCTAACAGTGTGATTAACTTTGTTGAGAATTGTTACATGTTGTATTTTGCAAAATTTCTTATCTTGTTATTGATTTATGATAGTTGGATATATCAGACTGCAAATGGACAGTGAAAGACTCTTGCACAAAATATCTTTAACAGTTTAATCAGGTCTGTTCCACTTGTTTTTAACAGGTTCATAAGCAATTGTTGATTGTAATCCTGTGGTGAAGGATAAAAAAGTGAAACTAAATCATTGTCATGTATAAGTGAAAGTACTGTATCATTGTCATATAAAAGCAAAACTATATCATTGTCATGCAAATGTAAAGTACATCATTTTCATGTACAGTACAGTATATTAAATGTCAAGAAAAAAACAGCAACTTGTAATTGAGAAGAATGATACCTTATTCATCCCTTCAGAACACACAAATGATATAACCTTAAGTAGGGGGTTATCAATCTCTGGCTTTCAGGTTCCTATAACCATTTTGTGAAAAAAAAAATTATGGTCTTACCATGATAAAATCAAAACCTCACTGCTCCAAGAAGTGTACACTATTTTTAGGTTTACACGCATTTTTGGTATTAGTAAATTAATCCTTTAAAAATAATCAATATTCTCGATCCTTTCTCAGGAATACTACTGCCCAAACCATCCCTCTATACGAGACCTCCTCACTCTACCCTATTTGAAATACTGTACAGTGCAGTATAATCTTTTAATCACTGTACACATAGTTATAAATAAATAATTAATAGACATAAAAGACATAACAAGACATAGCCTTTTTTTTTGGGGGGGGGGGAGGGATTTCTTAATAAATTATTAAAACTTTGTGACCCATCAGTTGAGAAACACTGTACTAAAGAAACTTACAGTATTGACTCAAGATCACATATATCTTACTTGACCCTCTGCCAAGTGTTAAATGAATGATAGGTAGTACTTTCCCAAAGTTTTTTTTTTTTAATAACATTGATAAATTGTTTACATATACTTAGTGCCATGATAAACTAAAACTACTATTTCTAGAGTCACGTGTGAGAGGAAAGTACAGTCGTGGTCAAAGTAATCACCCTTTTACTTAACCCCTGTGCCTGGCCAGTTCCTTTCTGCACAGTAAGTCACATGGGAATGGTGGTGTGTGTGGGAGGGTGGTATGCACAAAGAATGCAGAGAAATTTATGAAAGAAGAAAGGGAAGGATGGAATTAAGTTAGATTTTTTACTTATTATCTTGGGTTTACATGCTTGAAAGAGTAATAGACAAGGACCCCTATTTTATCATTATTATTGATAATTATTATTATTTGCCATCCATTTCCTTATTTACCATTTTTTCAGGTTCAGTTTTAAACAACTGTAAATGTTTACTTATACTGTAATAACGTTAATATGAGAGAAATATTGAATACGAGGGTAGTATTATATTTAATTTTAATGTTTATCAACACAGGTCATACAGAAACTCAATAGCCCAGCCACTGTCCTCCTCGCTTGTCAGTCGTGGTCTCCCCAGCCTAAGATTATATCATTTATATGAATTAAGAGTTCAAATATGCTTTTTTACATTACACACCCAAAATAAGTCACTTTAATATATCAAATGCAAGCAAACCAGCAAAAATACTCACAGCAGCCGATTTCCCAAGTTCCCAGACACCTCCCAGCGCATTAACCAACTTCTCAGTGACCCCAACCTCCCTTTGCAACTTCTGACACACTGTAGCCAGCCGCACCCAAACTGATAATTTGCCTGCGACTTGCCAATCAACGTTCTTTAAGAGTCCATCCTGGGCTGGGTGTTGAGCAGCAACCAAACACTATTGCCACTACCACCTCATTACTTCACATTGATTTTCACAACTCTAATAAACATATTACAGGATGGATAAGTCACATTCTATCCAATAATTAATTTTTTTTTTTTCCAAGAACGGTAGTGGCAATAGGTAGGTGGAAGTGATAAAGTAGAAATTCAATCATAATTTCCTCTTCAATTAAAAGTTTTGTTTTGTTTTCTCAAGAATGATAGTGGTGAGGAGTGGAAGTGATTAAATAACAATTCGTTCTTTTAGTGATACTGGTGATGTGCAAGCCACACACCTTCCTATTTTATGTTGTCATATCAGGGGCTTTCCCTCATGGAAGCCAGATGCCTTATCAACCCTAATGACACATTACCTGCCAAAAGCTTACTCATATTTCTCCCCAGAATGTCGAATAAGGACATAGATAACTAAAGAAAAGTTAAGTCCATAAGACACCTTCCCTGACACCTGCCTCCCTCACCCTCGTGTGACCTGTCACGAAGAAAGACCTTGAACTTGCAGGCTTGGATGATTACTTGTGACCATGACTGCATGTCCTAATTACCATACCCAAAACCCTATGTATGATCTGTATAGATAAAGATGGCCACTCTATTTTACCATAAACTTTTGATTTTTGTGAAGGAACATACAGGTACACTATAGCAAAAATACAGTAATTGTGTCTTGAAGAAGGAAAACAAAAACGAAAATAAAATTTTTTTGACATTTAATTTAGTGAATTCCTTAAAAATCATATTTTGTAAATAAAAACAAGAAGCCTTAACACCATTTCCACGTTAAGTCAGATTAGCACGCACTTTTATTAAGCTAAAAATATATTTGACATTTCATAAGTTTTCATATTAATTGATGTACACTGTTAAATTATGAAATAAAAAAATATAATCTCTTTAAGTACCCAAGTGGGTAATATGTAATTTTCACTTTTAATAAACTCGGACACTACAATCATAATTTCAAATAACATACATTTCAGTAGTATCCCCAATAATATATATATCAAGAGCATGACCATCATTCTTCTTCCATCAGGGGCACCTGATCTTCACCAGTAATCTTGCCTCTGCTGAATGGACTCCGAGGTCTAACAATTACTTCTCCTTCAGTCTCCTCTTCTCCCATTTCCAGTTTTTTATATCTATGATCCTTGCTGGTGCCATTTGTCTTCTGCCAAGAAACAAACCTCAATCAATACAATGGCTGAAATGGGTAATATACAGGTCAATTCTCAAATATGTGTAATAAATTGCAGTGTGTATTGCTGGGACAATTCTACGGCACAATGTCAGTAAAACAAAATGTTGGAACTCAAGTAATTTCCTGGCTACAGCACTTGAAAGGGGTTGAGGTTGGAGTGAAACAGTCATAGATTGTGTAATTTTCTGCACATAATTACAAAATGTGATACAATTGCATCATTACAATAAATGTTAAAAGTTTAGTGTAATAATGCAACTGTTTCACACTTTGCAATTATTATGTGCATAAAATTACACAACAATCTATGGCTGTTTCACTCCAACCTCACCATCATTACCTCAACCTCTTTCAATCTCTCGGAGAAATGACGAATACTGCACAGTACAGTATTACCCCGCTTTACACGGTTTTCACTTTCCGCGATTTCCGCGATTCCTCATTTACGCGGTACTTTGCCAGAACCGGACTTTCAGCGGTGCATCTACTCATATACGCGCGAAGTATAATTTTTTTTTTTTTTTATTTAGCTCATAAAATTCATACAAATTACCCGGCCAGAATATAATTTACATTGCTGGAATTCTTACAATATGATGATCATTTTGAATATAAACATCATGGATTTTGCATTAGACATACAAATTTGAGATCTAATGTAATAATTTGGTTTACACAAAGCAAGTATTTTATCTTTTGTGCAAAATATATGACGTTTACATTCAAAATATTCCCTGACCTGCAAGGAATCCAGAAATGTCAATTATATTATCCTAACTTTAGTCTGAGGTATTATTTATTACTAAAAATGTAAATTACTATTTTCTCCCAAAGCTTGGTAGGGAGGGTTGTGGGAGGAGGACCGACCATCTGGCACGGTTGAAGAGAGGGAGGCAAGGTAGGTACTTTGATTGACAGATAGTGTGTGAAGAATATATTTTTTTTTTATTAACTGAAGATATTTGTTTTAGCTCATAAAATTCATACAAATTACACGCCAGAATAAATTTCATTGCTGGAATTTACAATTGATGATCATTTTGAATATAAACATCATAGATTTTGCATTAGACATACAAATTTTAGATCTACTCTAAGTATTTTGTTTACTCTGAGTAAATATGTTATCTTTGTGCAAAATATATGACGTTACATTCAAAATATTCCCTGACCTGCAAGGAATCCAGAAATAACAATTATATTATCCTAATTTTAGTCTGAGGTATTATTTATTACTAAAAGTTAAAATCTAGTTCTTCACCCAACATTTCTCGGTAGGGAGGGGGAAGGGTGGGGGAGGGTTGGGACCTACCGAACATCTGATGCTGGAAGAGAGGAGGCAAGTTGGTACTTTGATTGACAGATAGTGTCGTGAAGAATATATATTTTTTTATTAACTGAAGATATTTGTTTTAGCTCATAAAATTCATACAAATTACTGGACCAGAATATAATTTACATTGCTGGAATTCTTACAATATGATGATCATTTTGAATATAAACATCATGGATTTTGCATTAGACATACAAATTTTAGATCTAATGTAATAATTTGGTTTACACAAAGCAAGAATTTTAACTTTGTGCAAAATATATGAAGTTTACATTCAAAATATTCCCTGACCTGCAAGGAATCCAGAAATGTCAATTATATTATCCTAACTTTAGTCTGAGGTGTTATTTATTACTAAACGTTAAAATCTAGTGTTTCACCCAATCATTTTCAGAGAGGTAGGGCCAGTCAACTGGGAAGAGGGGGGATTTGAGTCCATTAGTTGAATGGACATTAACCTGGCGACTGTATTTCTCTTAAATATTAATTGTGTGAACATACCATCATAAAATTTAGATGTTATTTTTACTACAACATAGGTATTGTCGGAAAAAGTGGAGTTTGGGGGTCGGGCCAGTGTCTATTGGAATTAATCCCATATGTTCTGTTGTTCACTTTACGCGGTTTTCACTTTCCACGGTACCCTGTGGGTTCAATTGACCGCGTAAATCGGGGTATTACTGTACAGTACAGTACAGTCTCTCCTCGACTTACGAAGGGGTTTTGTCCTGACGACCAGGTTGTAAGGCGAAAATAATACATAGAAATTCTAAAATGGGGGTCTCTTTTTCTTCTCAGCACCACAATAACTCTCACTTTTACGCTTGCCAGCCATTTTAAAGGGAATTACAAACGAAATTTTTTTCAGTACACAGTGCTATCACTAACATCGGGACTCGAAAATACGTAATGTGAAAAATATTTTATACGACCAGGGCCGTCATAAGTCGAGGAGAGACTGTATATTATATCGAAAGTTAAAAAATATAATGATGTTTTTTCCTACTGTATTTCCGTAAAACTTTTACCCTAACTCCAAATTTAAGCCCAGGAGAGTGGAGACTACTTCAGTATACAGTATTTTAAAAAACATCCACTTTACAGTATCTAAAATGTTTTCCTTAATAAAATATTAAGAGTATAATACAGTACTAGATTTAAAATTAATTTAAAATTAAAACACATGGCAGAAAAACGATATAAAATGCCTAATTTATAAAATACTGTACAGGACAGTAATAGCCGTTAGTTGGAATAATTGATGCAAAGTACCGTATTTCATGGCATATAAGATGCACCCCGTCATTTTAGGAGAATTTAGGAAAAAACATGTGTATTTTCCTCCTGTAGCCTTAGTTTTCTTAAAACAATATATACAGTATCAGTAAATGTGAGTAATAAATAAAAAATAATACCAATAATTAAGTTAAAACAAAAAATAATGTACAGTATTGCCAAACCAGGAAATAAAGGCCAAATGGAAGTTTAACACAATCACCATTTGCATATACATCTGTAGGCCGTGTTCACCATAGTAACCGGGCTATGCTACCTCTGCCAATTCCCGAGCAACACCCCCCCCCCCAACAGCTGTGCTGTCCTTCCACTCCCCACCTGAGCCAGCTAACAAATTTTTCTTTTACTTTTTTCTCAGTATAGGATGGTGTGTGCATGTAACAGTAAAATTAGATGAAGTAAGTTACATATATCTACCCAAAAATACAAGTTGAAAAACAACCATAACACCTCACAGCTTGGCCCAGTAGCCTGGTGGTTACAGTGACAAGTCTAATCTCACTACAATGCTCCCAGTGATGTTAGCAGATGCAAATGTGAAGAAAAAACAATTCTGTAATTCTTCATTTGTATCGGGTATTTGTAGATTGAAAAATAATTTTTGAAGGTATGGCATAAATAGATTGTAATACTTGATAAGAGTTCAGAAATGGTTACTGCTTAGCGACCTCTGAAGAGTTGGGTGTCTGCCGTATGAACATTAATTGTCTCGGGTTATCATCATCAGTACAGTATGGAGCAGTTATAAATCGAGTTTTTATATTTGCAATAATTATTTTTTAATGAATTAAAAATAATGTGTTTAAGTGAGCAATAACTTATTTTTAATTCTGGAGTTGGGTTAAGAAGAATTTTGCCTACTGGGGACAGGAACTAGGGGATTCATTAGCCTACGGGAGATCGCACCTTCACATATAGGATGCAGGCCAATATTTTCAGACAAAAAAGTGCGTCTGATATGCTTTAAAATACTGTACGGTACTTCCACTCGCGCCTCTCTCGGCCTCAGCTGCCGAGTGTACTGAGCAGGAGAAAGGGTTTGGGTTGTGTGCCTGTGCCAACTGACCCTTAGCAATAGTTGCGAAGAGTCGGTTGGCAGTTGCAGCACATCCCAACTGAGCTATGATGCAGTACGTGCACTATTTTGTATAGTTTTAGCTTTTTTATGCTTTCATTATTTTTCCTGAATATTCTATGCTGAAATTAACTTGACAAACAGTGGCAAAGAAGATTAAGAAAACTTACAGCAGAAGTGGTTGTGTGTGCACATTTAAACTGAAATAAGCAAGCCTGACCAGCCTAATCGCTAGATGCACTACAGTGACCCCTCGTTTAACGAACGCCTCGGTTAACGAAATTTCGGTTAACGAACTGCCTTCCATAAGGATCTTCAATTCGGTTAACGAACAAAAATTCGGTTAACGAATTTCTTACGAACCGACCTCAACATGTTTTCGCTTGCACTGGCCGGGCAACCAGCATTAGTATCAGTCCGCCAATACATTAATCGGTTCTAGGGCTTAAATTCCTTACTATTTTAGTAAATATGAAGAAGTTTATACTATTCAATAATTTTAAAAGTTTAATATTCAATTTTTTAGTCTTTTTAACAATTATTGAACATAATTGAAGGTAAAGTGACTAGTTTAATGCGCGGCATCCAGCCTCTTAACACAGCAAACAGGCGTTAGTCTCTCTCTGTTTTCACTGGGGGTAACATCTTGCTTGAGACTCTCTTCAACTAAATGCTTTTTTCTGTGTTTCCAAGCAAATTATTGGTCATTTTGAAATATATTTTACATATTGACAATATATAATGCAGTGCAGTGTTGATTTAAAGAAAATAATCTTGAAATACACCAAGAGAACTAAAATTTTATGGGTGAAATGGTGCCATGGGGTGACTTCTCTTCCACCCCAATGCCTTCTCTTCTTCCTTCTCCTCCACCACCATTCTAATTCCCATCATCATCATCATCATCATCATCCAGGAGCCTTCTACAAACACACCTCAAAGTAAGTGAACTTTTCTACCATTTTTGTTGAATTTAGGAAATTTTCGGTGAGTTGGAACCAATTACCCAAAAACCCATTGAAACAATGGTTTCGGTTAATGAACTTTTCGGTTAACGAACGACCTGGAACGGATTGAGTTCGTTAACCGAAGGGTCACTGTATTGACAAACTGCTCGGTGCATCCATACTTACGATCACCTCTTACATAGAATACATACTCATGCTCTTCATATTTATTATTTTATAGTTTTATATTATATTTTCTTTATTTCTAAGTCACATTAGAGTATTGAAATGATTTTTCCACAACTTTAAAAGTTTCATTATACGTTATATTCTTGATTTTACGTACTAATTTGAGCCACCCCGTTCATTAAATGGAAATTTCCGCTAAATTGAGCTCTCCACCACTCAGTCTGTGTCCTGCCGCTGTCTCCACCAGTCTATGTACAGAACTAAACAAATAATTCATTTGAAATACTCTGTAACATTCAATGCCATAATATCCTGACCACTGGGGTTAGTCATACAGACTTTTCCCTGTGAAAAATCCATAATCTTTAGCAACATATTACTGTACTCACTTTGTACTCAAATGTTTTAAACTAAAGGACTAAATATTTATCTCATGCAGACTATGAGATGTCTAGACTCAAATTAATTGCTATCTTGCAAGGATTCCAGCAATGTAAGTTATATTCTGCTAAGTCAAGTCTGTGAAATTTTATAAGAGAAAAACTTAAAGCTTAAAACCACCATCATATAAAATCCTTATCAACTACTGTACTGCCATCTTGCCTCCCCTGCTGGCTGGGGGAGGTGGGGTGTTGACAGTCAGAAGGGGAAATTACCGGGTAGTTGTCAGTGGAGGGGTCATGGACTCAGGATTATAAAAAGAGGGAGTTTAAGATTTTTGCTTATAAAATGTCACCGACTTGACTTAGCAGAATATAACTTTCATTACTGCAATTCTTGCAAGATAGCAATTAATTTGAGTATAAAAACATCTTATAGTTTGCACCAGACTAAAAATTTGAGTAATTAACTTGGTACATTTCAGTACAGGTTGTGATACATTATATGTTGTAGGTGCAGTTGCGAAGCTTCGTGACATAATGCGGCTCCATATGCCCTGGTTTATTCACTGATCAGTTGTCAAGTGCAGAAGTAGCCAAATCGAGCCATCATGTATCAATTAATTTTAAAATAGAAATTATAAAGTAAAATGTTAAAAGACAATGGTTTAGTAGCGCTATTAATGTGTGCTGTTTAAGTGTCTTGGCATGTCACCTCACCTACTGCCTGGTCACCTCACCCTCTGCCTCGTTAGCGCACTTTGGAGTTACATTGATTTATTACTTTATTATTCTACCTTTTTAGTATTGTATGTACATTTAAAAAAATATTGTTTGCACATAATTATTTATAGATCCAGCGCAGAAAAATCCAGCGTTACCCAAGCGGTTGATCATCCCACCCATGCACCAACCATGTGAGGATGTGGCGAAACATAATGCAATCTTTCATAATGCCGGAAACCTCTGTCCCCGGGCATGGAGTAGAAAGGTTTGGAGTGATTTTCTTGCAATTTTTTCAGATTTTCCGGTAATTGCTTCATATCATTATTTATTGTTTTTACACATTTAGTACATTTTCCATAGGCTGTGAAGTAGGTTTTACTGCATCATGTGTCTGAGGTGTCTCCGTAGGTGTGAGTGTATTAACTGAATTAATCTTAATTTAGCGAACTAGTTCACTAAATCAAGCGAAAAATAAAAAAAATTCCTTTTGCTAAATCAAGAGTGCATTTTATCGAATACCGTTAAATTGAGAGTATACTGTATGTAACAATGGCAACATGCATTACCATCTCCCGCAGGCCACAGCTGACTAGCATGTCAGCCAGTTGACTCCTGGCGCGGTTCTTGGAAAAACGGTTTTCTTTAGCAATTATACTCCCCACAAAATCATTACAATACTGTACTCTAATGTGGCTTAGAAATAAAGAAAAGAAAATATAAAACTATACAATAAAAAAAATAAAGAGCATATGTGGGAAGTAAATGTGTTATAAGACGGAGGGTTACTGGGCTTTAAATGCATGACATGACGTCACTGCATACACACCCACAACGTGTTTGGGTGTCGGCTGAGCTGGGTAATTGCCTAAACTGTGTTGCGAGCTGGATGCGTGTGGAAGAACTTATTCTTTTTACATATAATAATATATATTCTATACCAGTAAATATGAGGCATAAATAAAAAATTATAAATAAAAGAAAAAATACTGCATTGCCATTTAGCAGGAGACAGTGATCAAGAGCGGAGCAGTGAGTGAGAAAACACCAAATGTAGCTCTCTCCCTCCCACCCTCAGTGCTTGCTTCTACACAAATGATTAATTCCCTTTATGTTTTTGACCTTATGATAATTATTTAAACAAAATTTGGGCACATACTGTGTGGTTTGCGTTTAAACTGAAATACAGTAGGCCTAACCAGCCAAGTCGCCACATGCGCTATTGACAGAGATATACAGTACAGTGATCCCTCGGTTAACGAGCGCCTCGGTTAACAAAATTTCTGTTAATGAATTACCTTCCATAAGATTCTTCACTTCGGTTAACGAGCACCTTCGGTTAACGAATACCTTAAGAAATTTTTCCCAACATGTTTTCGCCTGCATTTGGCTGCCCACCAGCTGTAGTATTAGTCCGCCAATACAGTAATCGGTTTTAGGGCTTAAATTCCTTACCATTTTAATAAATATCAAGAAGGTTGTACTATTCAATAATTTTAAAAGTTTTATATTAAATTTTTTAGTAATTTTGACAATTATTGAACATAATTGAAGTACAGGAAACTATTTTTTTGCGCACCAAACAGTCATTCAACACACCAAGCTTGGCGTCAGTTTGTTTACCAGTTCAGAGGAAGGAACATCTTGTTTGAGACTCTTCAACATAAACGTTTTTTTCTGTTTCCAGTCAAATTATTGGTCATTTTTAAATATATTTTACATATTGATAATATATAGTGCAGTGCAGTGTTGATTTAAAGAAAATAATCTTGAATTACACCAAGTGAACTAAAATTTTATGGGTGGAATGGCAGCATGGGGTGACTTCTCTTCCACCCCCACTGCCTTCTCTTCTCCCTTCTTTTCCACCCCCATTTTAATCCCATCATCATCATCAACCAGGAGCCTTCTACATGCACACCTCAAAGTAAGTGTACTTTACTGCATTTATTTTTAGTTTGTATATAATTTTCGGTGAGCTGGAACCAATTACCCAAAAACCCATTAAAACAACGGTTTCGGTTAACGAATTTTTCGGTTAACGAGCAACCTTCTGGAACGAATTGTGCTCGTTAACTGAGGGACCACTGTATAACCATGTACTTTACAGGTGTTATAAGGGATTTTCAAGGATAATTTTGACTTCGCATTTTTGGCTTTATGCGCCGTTTTCGGAACATGACCCCTACGTTAGATGTGACACGACTGTAATGGAAAAGTGTTTCTTATCCGAGGCATATCAGAGAGGACATTGTAGAAATGTTGTCTGAAAACAATTATGTAAGAAAAATTAATACATACTAACAGGATCATATTATTTAGCAACTGTGGATAGCAGATATATATAATTAACAAAATGAATTTTATTATAGCTTAGCTTGCATAAAAAAAGCTTTGATAAAAGATATACAGCTCTCATTTCAATACAAGCACAGCCACACCCCTCAAATCATTTCCTAATCAGACGGGTAATTTAATTGATTATATAGCACCTTGTGCTGTACTTACCCCAACATTCCTTAAAGCAAGTATATCAGCGACACACTCAGGCAATGGTTGGCCAAGTGTCTCAGGTAACTTAAGATTAAGCATTCCTGCTGCAAAAGTCATAAGACCCAGAACTGTAAACTGTAGATTTGGTGTCACTTCTCCCAGCATAAGAATCAATGGTGCCAGCATACCACCGACCCTGGCAGCTACTGATAAAATACCCACACCAGAATTTCGTATCGCAGTTGGGAAAATTTCAGCGCTGAAACAGATTCATCAGTTAATATCAACAAAACAGGATTTCTTATAAACCAACTCCAGCCCTACCCATATAGTGTGTCCCATATATGCATGACTGCCAGTTAAGGACAGTGTGGATACAGCACACTGTATACAAAGCCTTTGGTATGCGAGAAGGCAACATAGCCAGTATTGCATTTGATCGCATTCACTTCCCTAAGTTGTAAACTTGGGTACCCATTTACAGCTGGGTGAACTGGGAATGCCCTGGGATTGAACCACCAATCCCTGGAACAGGAGGTGAGTGCTGTACAGTATACTTGCCTCTCAAGGGTGATACCATCAGAGGGCCAACATTTGCAATACAGTACAGTATTAGGATCTACAGTACAGTACCTACTTCAATTATTACATTGCTTCAGTACAGTCACAGGTTAATATTTTGCTTTAACTCCTTTATACAATATAAACCTACTTGGGAATTAAGTATTACTGAATACATTATTACAATTTAAAATTAACCTGAAGCAAATGATACTGTATTAAGCACATTCAGCCAAACAAACACTTAAACCTACCTCCTGTGTTTACCTCTGTAATACTATACTTATGGTATTGACAGCTACTGTACTTAATTTTGCAAAATGTACACTTTATCGAAAGGTAATGAATTGGCTAACTGCTGTATTAACTACTATACCTATACAACAAAAAAATAGTATCTACTGGTAATTTGTACTTCAAAAACATGAGCAAATCAATGAGAATCAAGAGCAAAAGAATCATCTAAATTTTTAACTAACTTGTTTAAGAATTATGAAAATGACCAAATCTGAATAATTGGCAATACAGTATGTAAACAAAAGAGAAAAAATTAAATGATGCTTACCTATGAATGTAACAAACAGAGAAACTTGCAGAAATACTCAGTTTACCAATGAGGGCCAAGACTGTTATCAGCGTGATAAACCTGGCTGGTATAAACTGAATACACAAACAAACTGACCCACCGACCATCATAAACCCACACAATGTTAATCGTCGTCCGATTCTGAAAAATTAGGAAGATAATATCAGTGATGTACACTACACATTATCACAATCAAGAAAAACAGATAATCATGTTTAAGAAAAAGAGCTTTACTCAAATCTGCTACCCTGATTGAGCCAAAGTTTTATATAAAGCTCCACCTACACACACACAGACTGAAAGAGGTATAGAAATAAATAAAAAAGTAAGAAACTCATGGATACAGAAATTAAAAGCACATGCATTAAGGGTAAATGTGCACAGCTACTAGGACTGCTATTACACTGTTTCATCTGTGGCTTGGAACTGTTGTTGTGGTAGGTGAAACATCATCTACAAATACAGTAATATTAATTATTTTCAATACCTGTGGTTTAAAGATTAAGGAACAGGCATGGGAAATTAGTTATGAGATATAAGGACAACCCATGAATAACTCCATGTAATAAATCCCATCAAGACAAGTAAAAGTGTGTTATTACATGTTCAAAAGACTAGTAGAGTTTCACACCCAGGACCAATGGACTGCCAAGCTATTGGTGTTGTTCTGGCCATCTAAGCAAGATCAAATACAATCAGTACTCGGTTTTAATGAAATGCATTAAAATTTTTGTGTTATGCTGTAATAACAAAACTTAAGGTAAACCTTTGACTCCAGTAAAGGTTGACAATCCCTTATCAGAAATCCTTGGGGCCAGATGTGTTTCGGATTTTGGAATTTTTCGGATTTCAGGACGCTTAGGTTAAGTTTTTTTTTTACACACACACACGGGGATTAGCCTACCCGAGCACAGGTCACAGACCCACATCAGGGCCGGGGGGGGGGGGGTTGGAAATAAAATAATAATTACTAGGTCTAGGTCATGTTTCTCACTTTTGATATTTTTTTCATTCTTGTATTTCTTTATTATTATTTTATTAATATTTGTATTATTATTATTTTATTTTTGTGTATTTTTTATTATAAATTTTATTTACTATGAATTATTATTAATTATTATTATTAATTATTATTATTATTATTATTATTATTATTTTTATTAAATATTATTATTATTATTATTATTACAGTTGTACCCCACTTAACGCGGTCAATAGAACCCAGAGGGTCCCGTGTTAAGTGAAATCCGCGTTAAGTGAACAACAGAACATATGGGATTAATTCCAATAGAAACCGGCCCGACCCCCAAACTCCACTTTTTGAAGGCACATACCTATGTTGTAGTAAAAATAACATCTTAATTTTATGATGGTACATGCACACAATTAATACTTAAGAGAAATAGAGAAATACAGTCGCCAAGTTAATGTCCATTCAAATAATGGACTCAACTCCCTCCCCCTCTCACACTACACTGCCGGCTCTTCCCTCTCTGAAAATTTTTGGGGGAAAACCACTAAATTTTAATAAATAATACCTCAAACTAAAGTTAGGATAATACAATTGACATTGCTGGATTCCTTGTAAGACCAGGAATATTTTGAATATAAATGTCATATATTTTGCACAAAAGATAACATAGTTACCTAGAGAAAAATTTTTATCTAAAATTTGTATGTTTAATGCAAAATATATGATGTTTATATTCAAAATGATCACCAAATTATAAGAATTCCAGCAATGTAAATTATATTCTGACCGGGTAATTTGTATGAATTTTATGAGCTAAAACAAATATCTTCAGTTAATAAAAAAAAAAATAATCTTCACGACACTATCTGTCAATCAAAGTACCCCACCTTGCCTCCCCCCCTCTTCCAACCGCGCGGTCAGTCCCAACCCTCCCCCCCACCCCCCACCAATCCTCCCTTCAAGAGTTTTTAACATTTAGTATTAAATAATACCTCAGATTAAAGTTAGGATAATATAATTGACATTGCTGGATTCCTTGTAAGACCAGGAATATTTTGAATATAAATGTCATATATTTTGCACAAAAGATAACATAGTTACTCTGAGAAAAAATTTTATCTAAAATTTGTATGTCTAATGCAAAATATATGATGTTTATATTCAAAATGATCATCAAATTATAAGAATTCCAGCAATGTAAATTATATTCAGACCGGGTAATTTGTATGAATTTTATGAGCTAAAACAAATATCTTCAGTTAATAAAAAAAAAATTATTCTTCACGGGGTAACAGATGGTCGGTCGGTCCCTCCCTCCCCCCACCCCCCACCAACCGTCCCAAGGAGATGTGTGGGAAAACCAGAATACTTAACTTTTTTGTAATAAATAATACCTCAAACTAAAGTTAGGATAATATAATTGACATTGCTGGATTCCTTGTAAGACCAGGAATATTTTGAATATAAATGTCATATATTTTGCACAAAAGATAACATAGTTACTCTGAGAAAAAATTTTATCTAAAATTTGTATGTCTAATGCAAAATATATGATGTTTATATTCAAAATGATCACCAAATTATAAGAATTCCAGCAATGTAAATTATATTCTGGCCGGGTAATTTGTATGAATTTTATGAGCTAAAACAGGCAGTCAGGCAGGGTGGCGGGTGGGGCAAATCTAAAAATAGCGTCTCGAGCCGGACACTCACCGCGTATATGTGGAAAAAATCCGTGTTAAGTGAAAGTTCAGCTCTGGCGTATATGATAAAACGCGTTAAGTGAAACCGCGTTAGGCAGGGTAATACTGTATTAAATATTATTATTATTATTATTATTATTATTATTATTATTATTAAATATTATTATTATTAAATATTATTATTATTATTATTATTATTATTATTATTATTATCATCATCATCATCATCATCATCCCCCCCCAGGCCCTAATGTGGGTCAGTGACCTGTGCCCGGGTGGGCTAATCCCATAAAAAAAAAAAAAAAAAAAAAAGCTCCACTAAAAACTTTCGGTTTTTGCAATTCTGGATAAGGGATTGTCAACCTGTAGCTATAATTTGAGAACTTCGTATAGCAATAGTTTAACAATTTACCTTAATAATCAGGAATTTATATTTTACGTGTTCACAACTTGCTTTGTAACCAATGAATTTTTCTCCTGGATAAACTTTTGTAATTGTATTTTTTGTTTTCAAATGTTGTACATGTTAAAAAAAATATTTTCAAGGCAGTGTTATGAGGGGATATGTGATGTTTGTGGCAACTTGGGGATGTGTGAGGCTCTTAAGAGCCATTTGTCTCTGGGGAGACTGATTGATGCTTCCATAAGGTCTACGTGATGCTTCTAGGGGTGCTCATAAGTTGCTGGTTGTGTACAGCTAGTAAGGGCTATGTGATGACACCACTGCTAGGGACTGTGAGGCTGCCAAGGGCTGGGTGCTGTGGCTTGTCTGAGCCCCCTACTATAGAGATAAGCGAGACACGTCGACCAAAGTACAGGTACACTGGTAGCCTTGCACGATCCAGGTTGGGTTACCCTTATGGAACCCTGTGTACACAGATAGTAGTATAATAATCCTGAAGAAAAGTTTAAAACAAAGGGGTTCCAAAGACAAAAAATGATAGAGCCACTTTTTCTACTTTCCCGAAAAGTAGAAAATCTACTTACGATCTCTTGAGAATTAAAAAGGTCGTTAGTGCGAATTCTCAAAAGATCGTAAGTATCTACTCGTAAGTAATTTTTTCTCTTAAGTTCGAACTTATGAGCTTTCTAATTCTCTAAAGATCATAAGTATCTACTTCGTATTTTTTCTCTTAAGTTCGAACTTATGATCTTTTGAGAATTAAAATTTTTGTAAGTTCGAACTTAAGATAAAAAATAGCACGATCTTTTGAGAATTCGAACTTATGATCTTTGGAGATTTAGAAAGATCGTAAGTTATTTTTTTATCTTAAGTTCGAACTTACGATCTTTCTAATTCTCAAAAGATCATAAGTATCTACTTGTAAGTTATTTTTTCTTTTAAGTTCAAACTTACGATCTTTCTAATTCTCAAAAGATCATAAGTTCGAACTTAAGATAAAAAATAACCTACGAGTAGATACTTACGATCTTTTGAGAATTAGAAAGATCATAAGTTCGAACTTAAGATAAAAAAATAACTTACTATGTTTTGAGAATTAGAGATCGCAAGTTCAAATTATCAAAAGATCTTAAGTCCGAACTTACGATCTTTCTGATTCTAAAAAGATCGTAAGTATCTACTCGTAAGTTATTTTTTCTCTTAAGTTCGAACTTACGATTTTTTGATAATTAAAAAGATTGTAAGTTCGAATTCTCAAAAGATCGTAAGTATCTACTTCAGGAAAGTAGATTATCTACTTTTCAGGAAAGTAGATTATCAAATTTTTGTGAAAGTAGTTTATCTAATTTTCGGGAAATCTACTTTTCCCGAAAAGTAGATAATCTACCGGTACTTTCCCGAAAAGTAGATACTTACGATCTTTTGAGAATTCGAACTTACGATCTTTCTAAATCTAAAAAAATCGTAAGTTCGAACTTAAGATAAAAAATAACTTACGATGTTTTAAGAACTAGAAAACATAAGAATGGAGGAAACTGCAGCGGGTCTATTGGCCCAAACTGGGCAGTCCCATTTACACCCAACCCCTATTGTTCATATATCCACCCAACCTATGTTTGAAGCTATCCAGCGTATTCGAGTTAATGATGATATTTGATAACTTAATCCACTCATCCACTACTCTATTTCCAATCCAATGTTTACCTATTTTGCTCCTAAATCTAAATTTGTCTAATTTAAAACCAATGTTACGAGTTCGCTCCTGGTTGGATAGTCACAAGTTCAAATTTTCAAAAGATCTTAAGTCCGAACTTACGATCTTTCTAATTCTCAAAAGATCGTAAGTATCTACTCGTAAGTTATTTTTCTCTTAAGTTCGAACTTACAATTTTTTGAGAATTAGAAAGATCGTAAGTTTGAATTCTCAAAAGATCGTAAGTATCTACTTTTCGGGAAAAGTAGATTTCCCGAAAATTTGATAATCTACTTTCACAAAAAATTTGATAATCTACTTTCCTGAAAAGTAGATAATCTACTTTCCCAAAAAGTAGATACTTAAGATCTTTTGAGAATTCGAACTTACGATCTTTCTAATTATCAAAAAACTGTAAGTTCGAACTAAGAGAAAAAAATAACTTACGAGTAGATACTTACGATCTTTTGAGAATTAGAAAAATCGTAAGTTCGAATTCTCAAAAGATCGTAAGTAAATTTTTTATCTTAATTTCGAACTTACAATTTTTCTAATTCTCAAAAGATCGTAAGCATCTACTTGTAAGTTATTTTTTTTACTTTAAGCTCGAACTTACGATTTTTCTAATTCTCAAGAGTGTAAGTTCGAACATAAGAAAAAACTTACAATCTTTCTAAATCTACAAAGATCGTAAGTTTGAATTCCTAAAAACTCATAAGTTATTTTTTCTCTTAAGTTCGAACTTACTTATGATCTTTTGATATTTCGAACTTACGATCTTTCTAATTCTCAAGAAATCGTAAGTTCGAACTTAAGAGAATAATAACTTGCGAGTAGATATTTACAATCTTTTGAGAATTAGAAAGATCGTAAGTTCGAACTTAAGAGAAAAAATAACTTACGATCTTTTGAGAATTCGAACTTATGATCTTTGGAGATTTAGAAAGATCATAAATTCTTTTTTTCTCTCTTACGATCTTTGGAGATTTAGAAAGATCGTAAATTCTTTTTTTCTCTCTTACGATCTTTGGAGAATTAGAAAGTGTAAGTTTGAACTTAAGAGAAAAAAAATAATTTACAAGTAGAGACTTACGATCTTTTGAGAATTAGAAAGATCGTAAGTTCGAACTTTAGGTAAAATATTAACACGATCTTTTGTGAAAACATATCATTACTCTACATAAGAATATGAAAGCAACACTTATTTACTGTTCATATATACAGTATTTTAATTAATGTTTCTGAATCTAAAAAAAAATTCTACCCACCAGTGGTGTGTGTTTTTCCTCGGATGACGAAATTGCCAAGTCATTGGGTTCAACTCTAGCTGAAGCTGAAGAACATAAAAACTTTTTCTGTGTTGTTTTTAGTTTTTATTTAACTTTATCTGTGATATTTTCGTTGGTGCTTTATTACAGGTAGTAATTCGCCAAAAAAGTAGGGTAACTAAGGCAAAATTTAGCCAAACATCGAAAGTACCAGACTCAAATTAATTTTCCCCATAGGAAGTTGTATTTAAATTTGGAGGATTTGAATTTCACGAGCTTTTACAGTCTAAATAGGTGTCCAAATATGAGAGCCTGCTGTAGACCGGTGAGCCTGACCAGCATAATATGTAAAGTACTTGAGAGTATTATCAGAGATGCCGCAATGGAACATCTACTACGAAACAACCTTGTAAAGGATTGCCAACACGGTTTTCTGCCAGGGCGCTCCTGCTTAACAATTGCTCAAGGTATTGGATATTTGGACCCATATTCTGGAACGGGGTGGTAATATCGACAATATATATACCTAGATTTCGTCAAGGCTTTCAACAGTGTACCCCCATGAAAGGCTGAAAATCAAACTGGAAGGGTACGAAATTCGGGGAAATGTCCTAGCGTGGATAGAAGACTTTCTACATGACCGCAAGCAGTGTGTGGTGATTAATGGCACGAAATCATCATCCGTACCCGTCACAAGCGGGGTACCACAGGACAGTGTATTGGGCCCGCTGTTATTTGTTTGTTTCATAAATGACATGCCTGACGTACACTCCTCCATACAAATGTTTGCCGATGACGCCAAGTCATTTCGGGAAATCAAGAACCAAGCGGGCTATGAAGAGCTGCAGAAGGATCTCTGTGAGCTCCAAGAATGGTCGAAAATATGGCTGCTGAGATTCAATGTCATAAAGTGTAAGAGGATGTATCTGGGGCATACCAAAGGTAAGGAGGTGTACCATAGTCCAAACGGGGTGAAGAAAATGCACTATTTGAGACTGAATGTGAGAAGGACCTAGGTGTGTATGTTGACAATGAACTCAAGTTCTCGAGCCATTGCGAGAAGAAGGTAAATCAGGAAAATAAATTATTGGGTCTTATAAGAAGGTCGTTCAGATATCTAGATTGTCCCTCGTAACGATCTTCAAGAGTGAAGTGCTTCCCCATCTGGAGTACTGTCACCCCATCTGGTCCCCGAGATATGCTAGGGACAGTCAGTTGGTTGAAAATGTTCAAAGGAGGGCCATTAGACTGGTGCCTGCACTTTGGCACCTCAGCTACCCTGAGAGATTGGAGCGCCTGAACTTGCCTAGCTTATACTACAGACAGGCAAGGGGTGACCTAATTGAGGTGTATAAGCATCTCAAGGGGTACTGCTCAGTTGAGTGTCCTTACTTGGAGCTGGCAGACGCTCACCCTACAAGGGGTCACAGCTCAAGATTGAAGGAGCCGCAAGTTGAGAAAACTGTGAGGGCAAACTTTTTCGGAGTGAGTATTGTGAACTCTTCGAACAATCTACCAGAAAGTGTTGTGACGGCACTGAGTGTGAGCTCTTTCAAGACCAGACTTGACCAACCCTGGAGCAAGTTCAGGTACATTCAGGAGCCGGTGCATGCCCAGTACTTGCCAACAGTACGTAACAGAGACGTGACCGATCGCCCAAGCGCCTAACGAGCCGATCATTTGGTGAAGAGGATAAAAGAAAAAGAAAAGTAACAGAGACGTGACCGATCGCCCAAGCGGCTAACGAGCCGATCATTTGGTGAAGAGGATAAAAGAAAAAGAAAAGTAACAGAGACGTGACCAATCGCCCAAGTGGCTAATGAGCTGATCAGTGGTGAAGAGGATAAAAGTAAAAGAGAGATACACACAGGTCATGCTGCTTATGTTGTTCCTAAACTATGTTAGGTAGAAACTACAGGGACTGCTCCCTGTAAGTGAGTGACTGCTAATACTATTAACCTTATACAGTATGCTAGGATTAATCCAAATAATAAAAGTTAATAATAACAACAGTAATAACCTAATATGGGATAAGTGAGACCAATACCCGGTACCTGTCTATGACTGCCACAGCAACAAGACAAGCAGGGATCTCAACAAGACCACTCAGCGCTGTCGACATATAAGCATCTCCTCCTAAGTTACTGGCAGCCAATGTAAGACCATAATAGGTTGCACTGTTGACAAACCTGTAGGGGATAAAGCTCACATAGTCGGCAAATATTTATTAACCTCTGCATGAAGCTTCCCCTCCTCCCTCTCCAAAGCTTGATACTGTTCTCCCTTATTACTCTTTGAAGTTTCATAATGTTTTCCTTTGTTATTCCCTGAAGGTTGATAAAAATTTCCTTGTTATTCCCTGAAGTTTTACAATATTTCTACCCTAAGGAGGTGTTAAAATTTTGCACTAATCCAATTCTACAACAGATTTATTTGGCATGACACATGTTTTTAATCTTCTGACTTACAAAAAACGTATTGTGAATTCCGTGGTACATCATCCATACACATGTAATATTTTTGAAAACACCAAAGACTACGTATAAATATATAATCATGAATTTTTATTCATTCAAACAAACATGTCTAAATTACTGAGCTATCTATTAACAAGTTAGGTTAGGCAGGTGAGAATTTTTCACTTACAGCCAAGTCATTAATGAAGGCCTTACCAGGAATTAATTTGAATCAGCGTAAGAAGGAGCACATAAGGATGGCTGACCAGAAGTCTAACTCCCACTGGCTTCTTGCTGCTCTCCTCTTTGCTCTTGGCATTTACTGAAATTTCCCAATGGGATGGAAGACTGTCAAATTTCCCATTTTTTCTGGCCATTGTTTCCAAAACAACTTTTGCTTCTTCGTACCTTCCCTGAGAGGCAAGCCATCTTGGACTCTCGGGAACATACCTGGAAAATCACCAGTCGAATTACACAAGATAATACAACAGTTTACTTTTTCCAGAGACCATGATTTATTTACAATGAAGTATTCCAACTACTTGTTATGTTTTATTTAAGTACAATCATGTTTTAAACAGTACAGTAAGCTTACACCTACCATGGAAAACTCAAGAACAGTAATCCAGAGATGGAGCAAAGAAATGTTAAAGTTCTCCAGGTATCCACAACTGATGCCAAAGCAGCGAACACTCCTATTCCAATGGCAAAAAACAAGCCAAGGGACATACCACAAAAGCTTCTCCAATCCATACCAATCAACTCTTGTGAGAGGACGAAGCTCGAGAGAATTATCAATGCACAGCAGATACCTCCCAGGTATCTGAAAAAAAATTAGAACTATGTTTATTATCTTTAAAAATACTACAATTACAGTATTCAAATTAATTTTCTATTAAAGTATTTATTACTGTAGTACAGTTTATCAAAACAATAAAATGACAAAAGTACTTATCAAAAAACTCTGATTACAAAATGTCAAGCATTCTATAAATATAACACCTGTAAACTCATCAAACAAAACAGTAAGAAAATATGTATTTACCGTAGTACAATCATGATCAAAAGTGTTGAAGCGAAGGCACTAAAGCCTTCAAAGGCTATCATCCCTAGAAGTGATAGCGTAAGTGTCTTGAGTCGTCCTATCACATCAGCTACTCCACCAAGCAAGAGCGCCCCAGTCATCACACCTCCCATCCATAGCGACTGCACCAGTGCCACTTTATATTTATCGCTGCATATCAGGTCCCACTGTGAAAAAATCAAACCTTGTATAGTAATGAAATAAATATAAAGAGATAAAATTATAAATAAATATATAGTAGTATATGTGATGATGGAATGTTCCATGAAGCGAGAGCAGTAAACCAGATGGACATCATGGAGCCTTGTGTAAAGAAGAACACCAGAGCAGAACATCTCTTGGCAGGAAGGAAGAACAAATGACAACTAGTAAAAGAAAACCAACTAACCTCAGATGCAAAAGATATGTAGGTTGATGTATAGACAATTGTACAGTTGTGTGGAGAATTCCCAATACACTGATCAACAAGTGGATCAGTGGCCCCATCATCTTTGGCAAAACACTTAAAGGAGGGATCCAAACCTGTTGCATAGATGAGAGAATAAAATTGTTTAGAATTTCCTCAAGACATTTCTGAAAATCATTGCACCATTATACAGTACAGTATAGTCTCGATTTACGCGTTTGGTCATTTATGAGGCACCTTGCCAGACCAACAATTTTTATTTACGCGGTTCATTCCATCATTTACGCGGGAAGCGGCGCGGGCAGGGTGCACACAAGGTCGCCCAGTCAACAAAACGTTACCGAGTTCTTCACCCGCCAACTACCACAGCCAGCCCAAGTCAGTGATAGTGAGGATATGAACTTTGAGGGGTTTGACAAAGAGGCCCTGCAAGCCTCTGTGGTGGATAGTGATACAAGTGAGGGCCAATAATCTGCCCTCTGCCTCAGAATCAACCCCCCCATCCCCGTGTGCCCAGCCATCTTTTCTAACGTAAGTGTTAAAAAACCTAATAGTATTGATATTTCTCTTAAATATTAATTGTGTGCATACCATCATAAAATTAAGATGTTATTTTTACTACAATGTACGTATTGTGGCTGGGTGAAGTATAATTTGTTTAGTATTTACTTGAGATTTTTGTTTCTAGCTCATAAAATTCATAGAAATTACCTGGCCAGAATATAACTTACATTGCTAGAATTCTTATAAGATAGTGAGTAATTTGAATATAAACAAGCTAAAATTTGCATAAAACATACAAATTTTAGATCTAATTTAAGAATTTTATTAGAGAGAGCAAAAATTTTATCTTTTGTGCAAAATATATGACGTTTATATTCAAATTATTCCCTGTCTTACAAGGAATCCATTAATGTCAATTATATTATCCTAACTATAGTCTGAAGTATTATTTATTACTAAACCTAAAAGCCTAGTGTTTTCACCCAAACATTTCTCAGGGAGGGAGGGGAGCCAGCGAGCGTGGGAAGGGGGGGGAGGAGTCGAGTCCATTATTTGAATGGACATTAACCGGCGACTGTATTTCTCTTAAATATTAATTGTGTGCATACCATCATAAAATTAAGATGTTATTTTTACTACAACGTACGTATTGTGTCGGAAAAAGTGTAGTTTGGGGGTCGGCCCAGTCTCTATTTCAATTAACCCCATATGCTCTGTTATTTTGTTTACGCGGACCTCCGCGGGTTTAATTGACCGCGTAAACCGAGACTAGACTATACTGTACTGTATATACAAAATATCACAAAACCTGATAAATACAGTAGTACATGAGTAGTTCATTAGAGTTTTAAATCAAAATTCAAGAAGCTTATTTTTATCTACAACATAAATATTGAATAAATGACAAACTTTTAAAAAACACAAGCACCATATTTTCCCTTACTACATAAAGGATACACAATTAACTGTACACCCACATACCAACTAAACATGCACACACCAGACCAACTAACAACACTAAATGAAAATTACCTTATATGAATCCTGGCTTTTATTTCCATTAAAATACAGTAAACCCTCACCAATGCGGACTAAATGGGGAAAGGGGCAGTCCGAGAAGGCCAACTTTCCAAGTAGAATGGAGTCTGACCTAGGTCAGAGATCCAAAAGGGAATTACCATAAGTATGGGATAGAAGAAGAGTCAGAATCCAACCTAGGTTCGAGAATATAAGGGCAATAGTCAGAGGTGGAAATGAAAGCCAGCATCAAGTACTGAAACTTGAGAGATTTCAATGTAGAGAACAATACAATACTATACATGGATACAATCTAACTGGACAATCTTCATAGCATATTTCTGAGAATATTCACCAGCTGATCATGTAGAGACAGCAGCCATATCATGATTTGACTTAGTTGCTCTCAAAACACTATGGGTGGATGACAAGGCAGTGTGTATAGTAAACAAATTATTATTTATGAATTATAATGTAAATAAGGGAAATAAGTATTTAAATATATAGAAATAATGAATTGATTATGAAAATAACATAAGCTAATCAATAAAAAACTAAACTTAAAGTAGTAATGATGTGCAATTACATTAAGACCAATGATGGATGTGACTTACTTGACCTTGACTACATATCCACAAAAGATCCACATCATCTCCATTTAACATCCACTTCATATCAACTTAACATCCACATCTCCACTAATCTTTCATATCATTTCCACTACACATCCATCTCCACTAAGCATCCTCATCACCTCTACTACACACCCACATAATCTTCACTCTACATTCACATTAAATTCACTACACATCCCTTTCATCTTGCACTCAATACACAACCTGGTAGGCCACCCATGCTATGCACATACATCTGGACTTGGAAACCTTCAAGAATCTTAGGGAAGCTTCCAGAACCTTCGGGAAGACTTGATGCTGTCCGAGTTCGCCTTTCCATTTCAGATATTGTCCGAGATTCATGAAAAAGTGTCCGAGGCTGACTCCCTGTACAAGAATCATGGGGGTCCTAGTTGATAAGGGTTTACTGTATTGCATACAGCGGTTGAGGTTGGCCAGGTACAACCTACTTCATACACCAATAGCCACAATATATTTCCAGCTAAAGAATATTATTAATAGAAAAATTTGTTGCAAGGACATGCTTAGGACAAATTCATGCCATATGCTTTAATTACTTAAATCAATTTTATTCTAAACCTAAACATAAAACCACATTACCAACATAAAACCACATTACCAAAGGTAGGGTGATCAATATCAGTGACAGTCAAACCCAATGGAAAATGAATCTGACAGGAAGGGGTGCAGCCTAAAAAAATAATAATAAATAAAAATCACATTCAGGGGCTTTGTGAAGCTTTCTGGCACATTTTTGGGGAAAAATTTCAAAACTGAATGTTAACCATGGCTCCTTTACTCTTAATACAGTACTACTTGATGGCCAGTGCTCTCAGGATTCATATTTCCAGAAGTCCACCGACTTAATATGACCAAAGAGCCACTTTACCTCAAGAAAACTCAAGATTAATCATCTGTACAAAATGCAAAATCTTTGGAATTCAAAGGTTGTCTACCAACTTGTAAATGTCCTTTACAACACAACACACACTGGAATGAATACCCTTCACTTGTGTCCTTATTCATGAAAAGCCAAAATTTATGAATACTGTATCAGGTAAAGAAGTACAACACAGGTTTTCAACTGTGGTGATCCTGTACATGATAAGCAGATCTTCACATGTCTCTGGGATCCCTATGGTTATTAAGTCATGAAAAAATCTTCCACTTAAGTTACCCATATAATACTTGCTCTAGTAATATAAAATCCTTCATAACCAAAATGGTTCAACTCTAGCAAGAATGTTCATAAATGGAAGTGTTCATCATACCCTGTTTATTGGATATCCTACAAGAGACTTGCATTATGTACTTCTTCCCTGGTACAGTATGTAAAAAATACTGCTTAGCCTGAACATTTTTCACCAGCCCTGGCAGCTTACACAGCAAAAATTTATAAAATCTTAAAAATTTCAAAGCTCAATTTCTGGACTTGAGGATTTATTAACACTGGCTATTTATAGTCAACATTCATTTACAGTAACTGATTCAAAATATGAAACCAATAGTTATGTGAGTATTATGTGGCTGTTTGAATTCATTGATGACTTGTGTGTTTAATGACAACCCTCCTTAATTATACTATACTGTATGTCTACAGTGAACTGTAATTAAAAATCATGCACATGCAACTTGCAAACTAAATACTGTACATACCTCCTCCTCTTCAGACATTGCAACTGTATTTTCCAGTATAGTATAGTCTCGATTTACGCGGATTTCCTTTACGCGTTTGGTCATTTACGAGGCACCTGGCCAGACTGGCAATTATTAGTTACGCGGTACATTCCATCAATTACGAGGGGAAGCGGCACACTAGGTCGCCCAGTCAACAAAACATTACCGAGTTCTTCACCCGCCACCTACCACAGACAGCCCAAGACAGTGATAGTGAGGATATGGACTTTGAGGGGTTTGACAAAGAGGCCCTGCAAGCCTCTGTGGTGGATAGTGATACAAGTGATACAGGTGAGGGCCAATAATCTGCCCTCTGCCCCGGAACCAACCCCCCCCCATCCCCGTGTGCCCAGCCATCTCTTCTACTAACGTAAGTGTTAAAAAACCTAATATTATTGACATTTCTCTTAAATATTAATTGTGTGTGCATACCATCATAATATTAAGATGTTATTTTTATTACAACGTATGTATTGTGTCGGAAAAAGGGTAGTCTGGGGGTCGGCCCAGTCTCTATTTCAATTAATCCCATATGTTCCGTGATTTCGTTTACGCGTTTCTCATTTTACGCAGACCTCCACGGGTTTAATTGACCGGGTAAACCGAGACTATACTGTACAATGTGTGCGTTACAGATTTGTTAAGTAGTATGGCCACATCAACATTTTACTTTCATACACCTTAATTTAATTCATCAACAATACAGTACATAATGACAATGAATCCATTAACATCAGTATTCACAAAATATACTGTATTAACGTATTTATCACTCATCATTTCTCAGAGTACTGTACATTGAAGTAATATAATATGAAATTACAGATATATCTAATCAAGACAAGTTTCAATACCAGACAACTATACATATTCAAATCCAAATGTAAAAAATCCTGTAATAAAATAAAACAAAAACATATGCTCAACCTAGACACACACACACATGTAATGACAAACCAAACACAAAAAGATCCAGGTGGGGAGACACACAATGGAGAGGACTCAAGTGGGCTTCTACATAACAAACACAGAAGGACAATAATCAAAACTAACTACTTTTTTATCTGAAGTTTTAAAACTGGTGATGTGCAGCAGATCAATAATTGAGGCTAGAGTGTAGATACAGCCAAAGTAACCATCACTCTGAAAAAGAGGATGGTCTGAAGGTGATTCTTTATGAGGGACTGTTTGGCGGGTACAGGTGAGGGGGTGGGGGTGGATTTAATTACTATTCATAATAGTCTGACCCTTAGTGTCTAAGTCGTTATTATCTTGTTTATATATAAATTCATAACTAAAACACTGTATACAAATACGTCTCTGGCATATAGTCTTTTTCTTGCATTTCTATATACTGTACAGTACAGTACAGCATTCTCTACTAACATATTTCTAAACTAAGTTGTCTCTTTCCTCTAAATAAACCACTTTATATTTCACTTCTGAATTCCTTTCCTAACAGCTTAACTTCAACAAAATCAACTATTGACTGCCTTTTCTACTGTACTGATCAAACTGCTGGGGTGAAATTCAGAAGACTTTTAACATTAGTAGATGCCCAACTATCAGCTCAGGCAAGAAGATTTCTTGATCAATTTATCTTTCTGAAATAATAATAGTAAAAAAAAAAAAAATCTTTCAAATAATCCCTAAACTGAATTAAGATGGAAAGACAGAAAAGGGGAGTATAATGAAGAGTTTCTACGTGATTTCCTCGCATCTCTTGCAACTAACTCCCCTTATATTACTGTACTACTTGTTCTAATGCACAACTGTTCCTCTTAAAGTTTTAATTACACTATAATGTCTTCCAATAAATCCACATCAAAAATGCATTATTAATAAAAAGGGTTAAATGATGAGAAAGAAAGGAAAACGGTGTCCCTTAAAGGTTTATCAAAACCTTAGTTGGATTCTATTCTTATCACAAAAAAAAATATGTTAAACTATCACTGTCTTTTTCAATGTTATTATAATACTGTACCAACAGTGGCAGATCCAGGAGGGGGTTTGGGGGTTCAGTCGAATAACCCTTTTTTCCTAAGACTCGCCTGGCGTGGTGCCACTTAAAAAGACTAGATCATGTCAGATTAAGTGTCAACTCGTGCCAAGACCAACTCACCCCTTACGCGAGCATTTTCTATACCGAAACGTTTCCGTCCTAAGCGAGAGCGTGGCTGGCTTGGGTCACCGCGTGGGTACACTCACTCAGTACAGCGCTTAGTTGGTGTTTGGCTATCGTATCCTATACTGATCGAGCTGAGAACTTGCGTGATTATCGTATTTAATTGACTTTATAATGACTGGAAAGCGTACAAGTGAGAGTGCTGGTGGTGCTCCAAAGAAAAGGAGACAGGCAATTACTTTTGAGATGAAAATGAAGATAATAATGCAATATGAGAATGGAAAAACTTCAGCAACAATCTCACGTGACCTAGGTTTCTCGCACTCGACCATATCCACTATTCTGAAGGACAAGGAACAACACCTATAAAGGGAACTATAATTTCGAAGAAAAGACAAGGTCCTATTCACGATATGGAAAATTTATTGGTGATATGGATAGAAGACCAAACACAGAAGTGTGTACCCTTAAGCCTTTTAACCTTACAGGCTAAAGCAAGAAGCCTGTTCCAAAGCCTGAAGGAGCAGGCAGGAGATGAATGTGAGCAAACCTTTACAGCAAGTCATGGGTGGTTTAATAGATTTAAAAAATGCTACAGTTTACACAATGTTAAGGTGAGTGGAGAGGCAGCTAGTGCTGATGTTGGTGCTGCCGAAGCTTTTAAGGAGGAGTTAGATGATGTGATTGTGGAAGGGAATTATTTGCCTGAGCAAATATTCAATGTGGATGAGACTGGATTATTGTGGAAGTGCAAGCCTGAGCGGACATACATCCACAAAGAGGCAAAAACAATGCCAGGATTCAAGGCATTCAAGGACAGAATTACACTTTTGTTGGGGGGGAATGTTGCTGGTATCAAGCTAAAGTCCTTCATGATCTATCATTCAGAGAACCCCAGGGCTTTTAAACATGTCAGCAAGCACACACTGCCAGTGTTTTATCACAGTAACAAGAAAGCTTGGATGACCATTGTACTGTTTGAGGATTGGTTCATGAATTGTTTCATTCCTCAAGCCAAGGAGTATTGTCTGCAACAACGGATTCCATTCAAGATTTTGCTGATTTTGGATAATGCTCCAGGACGCCCACCACACCTGGATGACATGCACCCTGATGTTAAGGTAGTCTACATTCCACCTAACACTACCTCTGTCATCCAACCCATGGATCAAGATGCTATTGCTGCTTTTAAAGCGTGTTATTTACGTACGACCTTCGCTCAGGCTGTTGCTGCTACTGAAGGTGAGAAAACGTTCAGAGTTTTGGAAGGAGTACAACGTTTTGTCATGTATAAGGAACATTAGTGCAGCATGGGATCAGGTTACAAAACATTGCATGAATGGAATATGGAAGAAAATCCTGAAAAGTTATGTGAACAGTTTTAGAGGATTTAATGAAAATGAAGTTTTTTCGGATGTTAGTAACAAGATAGTGGAGTTAGGTAAACAGCTTCAGTTAGAAATTGATAATGAAGATGTTGAACAGTTGGTTGAAAGTGTAGTAGAAGAGCTCAGTAACGAAGATCTCATCGAACTGGAAGCACACAAAGATGCAGAGGAAGAAGCCAGTCTAAATGTAGAAGAAGGACCTGCACCCCCAAAAAGTTTTCAGTGAAGCAAATGGCAGAGGCATTTGCTACAATTAATAAAGGAATGCAAATGTTTGATGGCATGGATTAAAATTATGAGCGTTATGCCAAAGTTGACAGAATGATCCAAGATGCACTTGCTTGCTACTGAGAAATAATGAAAAGAAAAAGCAAACTGCAGTTTAAATTGGACATCTATTTTAAGAAATCCCTCAGTGCTGTCTCCTCACGCCCCACCAGTGCTGCCTCTTCACTCCCTCAAGATGATCCAATACCTTCAACTAGCAAGTTTCCACAGCACATAAACCTGTCTGAAGAAAGCGACACTGATGACCCACTCAGCCCTGTCTCCTCCTCTGCTTCTTCCGGTTAATGTAGTCTCCATGTATAGTTAGAAAATTATGGGGGCCCTGTGTGCATTCAGCTGACTACATTAAAGGTAAGTGCTCAGTCACATTGTATCCATTCCTCATTATTTATTACTTTTACTGTACTATATTTCATTGTAGATTTTTTTTTTTTATGTCGGACTTACGACCATTCCGACTTACGACCTGGATTCGGGTCCCTAACCCCGTCGTAAGTCGGGGAGCACCTGTATCTTATTCTACAACTTCACTCGCAAGGATCTGCACATTACCTGATACAGAAAGTGAATAAACAATAAAGATGCTATTTAGCTATTGGCAAGTTCTGTCCTTACTCCATTCCCAGCCACAGAAGGTGTAATATGAGCAGTTATTCCTCATTCAGTATTTAGCAATATAAAAATTCAAATTCAGCATACAGTACGTATAAATTTGGAGACTGATAACACAAGCAATTCTAATATGAATCTTAATTCAAATGGTATCCTCAAATGGTAGAGTGAAGATAGCAAAATAAACAGTAGCATTTCCAGCCTAATTATATGCATCACAATAACACATACAGTACTTCTACTGTACCTTTTTCTCTTCCAATGTAATGCATTTACGGTACTTTCTCTTCACTTCAAACAGTTCACCTTCACTTCTCTATATTCCTATGTATACTGTATATGCAGAAATATAATTATAAAATGAATTGGTTGGCCATTTCCACCTCACAAACTAGTGAATAAAGTTGTTAAGCATTTTGAACCTTGACCCAAACAAATTTCGATCACATTAATAATGACAAAGTGTATAAATACAGGTTGACAATCCTTTATCCGAAATCCTTGGGACCAGAGGCATTTCTGTTTTCGTAATTTTTCGGTTTTCAGGGTTTTTTTTTTTTTTTTTTTTTTTTTTTTTTTTATTAGCCCACCCGGGCATAGATCACTGACCCACATTAGGGCCTGGGGGTCGAAAATATAATAAAAATAATAATAATAATAATAATAATAATTATTCATAGGACTAGGTCGTGTTTCTCACTTTTGACCTTTTTTTCATTCTTGTATTTCTTTACTGTATTATATTTTATTATTA